CAGCGATAGGCTGTGCAGCTTGTGTACCGGTGCGGCACAAACACAAAACACCTCCTCGTTTTGCTACGCAGGCCTCCCCCATCCCCTGTCCTACCCCACTCGGGGTAACCTCCCCATGTCCTCTGCGTCTTCTGGCAACTTATCAAATACTGCTTTGATGAGGGTGATGTAGCCCAGCTTTTTGTCTGGGGCTACAATGGAGAATTTTCATTCCTACATCCACAGTCCCATATAATAGGAAGAACCAAATGTAAAACAATGTCTTTCTATTCACCTGTTTAGTACCAGACTGGTCACAAAAATATATTGCTACCCGAAAATCCAAATAAACTGCCAACCATCTGTTTTGGATCCATTTTGTAACTATGCAGAATAATCTATTCTTTTATTAGAGCGGTTAAAGGAGATTTAGAGGGAGGAAAGAGCATGGTGACTTCCAAGGGAAGAGTGAGTGATTCAGTGCAAAAAGGGTAAATTTCATCTGCACATTCTTAACTGCGAGGACATTCTGCACATCTCAGGAGTGCACTAAGTGGTGCAGTAAACCAGTAAATTAGAAGAATGTAAATTCTTTAGTAGGAATTGCACGCAAGGGAAAAATGCTTCCTCATGCTCATATTTGTTTTCATGAAAATAATGTACACTCTTCCTAAAATCATACTGGTACAGAGCTGAGTAAGACATCAAAACCAGTAATAGATATTACACTGGACTAAGAAATGGCAATGACACAATTATCTTCCGTGTTTCTGATGATCACTGCGATAAAGTGAGGAGCTGGCGTATTTAGAGCCTGGCACCAAGTAGGGAGCCTTGTAGCTCCCTTCCCCTCTCACTCTGTCTGTCTTATTTATCTCTCATTAAACTAAATTGTATTCTTATTGGCTGACTGACCTCTGATATTGTTATTAATTGATTTATATAGTGCCTTTTGCAAGCCTCAAGGCACTTCAGAGAATTGCAAATATATATAGGGATCACTTCACCAGTCATCTAAGTGCAGACACCTTTGGGGTGGAAACTGGCGGCCATTGCAGTGGCACTGGAAAAACCTTGGGTTAGAAAAGAAGGCAGACTAGTGGAGCCAGCACTTCTAGCAGTCCTACTGCCAAGCAGCTGCCTTGAAATCGGACTGGAAGGGTCGGAAATCTTTAAGAAAAAAGACTAGTTCTGGCAAATGATGAGTCAACAGAGCATGTTCAAAAACAAGCGTGAGGCAGAATATTTTCATGGTGAATGCAGTGCCCAAGGGTAGTCGTGGTAAGGCCTGTATTTTTTCACGAGGTCCTGATGACCACAGAACCCCTGCGGGCATCGTTCCCTCAGAGCTTCTGCCCAGTGCTAGCCCTCCTCGCAGCACTGCCTGACCTCCCCGCTGGCTCACGCGAGCATGGAGACGTGGCTTTCATCCCCAGCGGCATGCATCTGCAAGCCTCACGGTACCCAAATGACCGCTGGAGGTGCTGCCACAAGCAAACACCATGTGCAGGCGTGATTGTTGAACAGCTACGGGGAGCCGGGCCCCGTGCTTCCTCCTCTCGCCACGTCAGGCACTTGGAAAGCTGTCCGGGATTTCAGACCGGAGGCTGGGGCCGCCCAGCTGTCTGAGCTGTCTTTAACACAGGACCCAAAGTATCCCAGACAGCGTGCGACGGCTGCTAGCACCACTTCTGCGTTTCTTCGATGCCTACACCATTATGAGTGATGAAGAGAAAAAGGTTAAAACAGGCTGACATGCACATAGCGGGTGGCCACCGAGAAAGGAAGGGATCGCACACACCAAAAAATGGCACAGGTCTTCCCCACAGAAGGGCACCTGGCCCTCCTTTCCTCACCCTCGGCGATGACTCCCAGCACCACAGCAGGACCACATCTGTGGTGCCTGTGAGCATTGATGCCGACTTCTCAAATGTGGGGAGCTTGTAGTTTTTCAGTATAAGAGCTTGAGCATTCACAATAAACATTTTTAATACTTTCCCATCAATTATAGATGAGAGGGCTTTGTGTTTTTTCAGAATATTATAGTTTTGTCTTCATTTGAAACATCTGAATGCCTCTAATTAAAAAAAAAAGTATTTCTGAAGGTGCAAACGTAGCAGAGAATATCAGAAATATCTTTGTTATGTTAGGTCATTAAAGCTACTTAGACATGAGTGAAATGCATTGTATAGATCTGAAGGTTTTGAACCCTTCCCCATTAAAACGAACCCTGAATATGAAAAAGTGCACCCCTTTCCAAAGCAGAATTAATTTCACTGGCTCCATTAACAAGCAGGTCTGCTCTCGTCTTATCTTTCAAGAATTCTATGCCTGATTGCATTTATGTTCTCATTTAGCATCTCAAAATGGGCACTTTCTTTCAAGAAGGGTTAGTGCATGACTCACCCGCTTAGTTAATCTGACTAATTAGCATACTGTCGCCCATTAACAGCATTAGAACAACAACTGTAGCTCTCGCTACCTTGCTGTCTGGAAAACAGACCTCTTCTAGTTTGCAAGGACATTGGTTGCTCCCCGTCTTTCGGTAACCGTGGGGTTATTTATCACACCAGCACAGGATTTGCAGATAGCTCTGGAAGGGGCGATATCATTCTTAATATCCTGCAAAAACCCTCAGCCCCTAATCTTTCCTGGTGACTTACTGGAAATTATTCTAAAATTAAGTCCTTAACTCTGCAAGAAACCTCTCTGGCATCCGAGCTGCTCTTGTGCACCTCTTCCAACGTCATTGAAAGAAACTGATGGTGGAAATTAAACAAGTTTTTCTTACGAATGATAAGTCACAGTAAGTGTATCGATATTAAAATCTTTCGAACTTCAACCAGCCACGGCAGTCTTGGACTTACTTCAGAGAGCTATTCTAGGTGTATCAAGCCATGCTCAGACAGAAGTAAGATTTGTGGGTCCTTAGAAGAGTAATTTTCCGGGAAGCATGCCTTGCAAACCAGGAACATTTTTATTCATGGAGGTGACGCTGGGAACAGCAGGTTAAAAGACTGAACTAGGGAGGCCAAGCCAGCGACTGCCACAGCTCCTTAAGACAACTGCAGAGTGTCCAAGGTGCTCAAGGAGATTTACACACCTTATTTCAGCCTGCCCCAAATAGGCTGAAAAAATGCAGGACCCAGATAGGTGTGAATTTCTATTATTTATCTCAAAGGGCTGTTCACGGGAAGCCTAATTATGGTCACTCAAATGCCAGGGCTGTTAATCAACTCACTGCTGCTCACCGTACCAAAAATACCTATCATCTGGCACGCTTCCTCCGTGTCACCAGCATGCAGGTGAAACCTGCTGGTGCCACACGCCTTCACACCACACTCCCGAGGAATAAACCTGCAGCCTGCGGAGGCCAGCGCTGCCTGCACGGCCCTCGGACGGTCCTCGAAGCGCGACAGGAATTATTTAATCTCTCTTGCTGTTAGCATAGAGCTGTTGGACGCTGGTGTTTGGCTGGGTTATTCAAGTGACGCTGGCTTCGTTGGGGGCCTTGGAGCCAGCACCGGCACCTTCGGGGTGTGCCCAGAGGTTTTGTAAGTAGGGCTTCTCGCCTCCTCCTCAGCCAGCAGTGAGAATCAGCAGACATAATAGTTGAAAACATGGGTTTTCAACATAATATTGCAAGCTTTAGAACGCTGAAATGTTTAGTGGACCTACAGGTTTCACCTGATGGGAATATCAGTTTGACGACAGCAAATCCATTCACTAGGGCGGCTCATGTTGGACAATGCCAGAGCTCACGCTGAGTGAAGTTTCTGTCTGCTTTGAGTGAAAGCTGAGTAGCAGATCCCCTGACCAAAAATCCCCTGCAGAGCACTGGTCCCCGCAGGAGGTGACACTCCTCGTACACCCCTCCTGCTGTGCAGTCATGCCACCGCCACTCATAATGACTGTCTCTGCTGCAGCTGAGGCTGAAAAGCAAGAGATCCTAGTACAGATGGAACAACACCAACACGTCTCAGGAATCCGAGTCTTGGTTTCAAAGTGCCCCTGATGGTACTGACAACGATTCTGTCCAACTCACATTAGCAGCTAAACTAGTTTCAGGACCAGTGGAGGGCAATATTGCTTTGGCTTCCTGAATAAAAGGACCTAGGCACCAGCTAGGGTGCTGAGCTGGTGTGTGCAAGGCAAAGCCCTTTCTCTGGGCACGGGATGACTCTTTTTGCTCCACAAAATCAGTCCCCAGGGCGTACGGCTGCTGGAGCACCAGCACCGCCTTGTGAAACGCCTCACTCCCTGGACACCAGCTTGCTGTAGAAATCGATGCTTTTGTACAGGCACCATGATCCCAAACCAGCACACAGGGAAGGGCAGAGGTGGAAGCAGCTCCAGGGTGAAACAGGGTCTCTGTATGCACCAGCTGCATCGTCCCCCATACAGCCACACCGCAAAACAGCAGTTCTATATCCTCTTTACCATTTACCCCCAGTCTTTACCATAAGCGGTTTTACTGCAAAGGAACTACAGAAAGGACTCTTCCTCTTACGACCTCTGTTATTTTTCTCATTATGAGCTTGACTCAGCATTTAAAAATCTCACAGTTCCACATTTAGCACAAGTTCAAGTCTAAGTAAATATATAAAGGAGGTCAAAAAAGGGGTACTTAGGCCATATTTTGTGGAAATACAGTCTAGTTAATGCAGGACCTGAAGTACTTCTGGACTTGAGCAAACTGTTCAGAAGGTGAAGTCACCAAGCCTGCAAAAGTAGCAGGTGACTTAAAACGTTTGCCCTTTTTAAAAATAGTTCCTTAGACTCCTTTTGGAATATTAAATCCCTTACTTTAGTGTTAAGAAGGAATGTTCATATTTTGTGTTGCCTCTCTTAGCACTTTTGAACCAATCTTGCAGTGATATGATTTATTCTGCTATAATTTCTCTCTTCTGTTTGAGACTTTGATTCATTAAGCGTTTCCCTGGAAAGAAGAACTTTGAACTTGCACTCAGTGAAGAGCTGTGGCGTTTCTCCTTTTTCATCTTTGGCGTCTGTGGCAAGCGATGGCTGCTAATGGGTACCCACGGAGCCGGCGGCTGCTGGCCGACTGCTGCTGCTGGGGTGGTGAGTGGGCTTGCCGGAAAGATGGAAGAACAGCAATGGGGCTGAAGGCTGGTTGGACAGAGATGGCAGGGACGTTGTCCAAACTAGGGGCAAAGCTGGGGTGCCTGAGGGCTGAGAGGAAATTAAAGCCTGATGGGGATTTGCAGAGTAGAGGTGGGCTTTGCAAATGGTGAGGTTTCTCCTCCTCCTCTCCTCTCCTCTCCTCTCCTCTCCTCTCCTCTCCTCTCCTCTCCTCTCCTCTCCTCTCCTTGGGCTTTGCGTGAGGTTTCTCCTCCTCCTCTCCTCCTCTCCTCTCCTCTCCTCTCTCCTCTTCTCCTCTCCTCTCTCATCTCACCTCCATTCCTCCCTCCCCTCCTCCTTTCCTCCCTTTCTCCCTTCTCCTGCTGCCACCTCCCTGCCCTGTCCCTCTCCCACCGTGTCCGGGGGACCGCAGTCCCCATGGAGGCGCCCACAGCAGGTGCCGGCACAGCCCCGGCACACACCACCAGCAAGCACTGACGAGCCCTGCCATCCAGGCTGCCATGAGGCAAATCTGTCAGGAGAGATGATGTCTTTGGTTAGACCCGCTGATTTGGCTGTAAAAACACAGACAAGCTTTCTAGCTTTTTCTATCTGCAGAGAAATTTGTGCCTGAAAGCTTGGCTATTTTTCCAGGTATATCAGTTGCTCCCAGAGAAAAAAAAAAGGCATCATTTTCTTCCTGCAGTCGTGTCTGTCATGTCTGTAGACCATCACAGCTACAACATGATTAGGAATTTAGCACATGCCATTCAGTGTGGGCTGCAGATCTGTGCCTGCTGAAATGCTGTCCAAGAGCCAGAAGTGTGCACCTCAGACCATTTTTGATTTGTGACCTGTATGTGTTCAACCTTGCCTTTAAGGGGAGCAGAATTCATTTACACAGCACAGAAAGTGATAGAAGATTGGAACTGAAGCCTGGAGAGCCTTAATATGCTATTTGGGTTCCTTTTTGTGTGAGAGAAGCATCTATATTATTTATATATAATTAATAATGATAGGATAGCAGCAAAGAAAAGTGACTCAGTGGAGGCTAAGTAATTTCTCAAAAGCCGTGGATTGACAGAAAATATCTCCACTTCATCTTTAACATGTGACTGCAAAGAACAGGTTGGCAATGCAAAAATCATTCCTCTTATTGATCCATTATACATCCATCTTTCTGAGAGAGTTTTGATGTTAGAAAGATTATTGAAAGCTTTTGTGAAAACCTGAAATCTTTAATCACCAAATAGGTCCTTCAAAAACCTAAAATCAATTTGGGCTTTGAACTTTTTGTCTTGTGATTCCACCAAGGGCCCAGTGGAACCACAAAGGTTCAGCTGCTTTTTTAGCCCTTGCTGTGATAGCTCTGTCCTGAGGAGTCCCACATTATTGCATTACATTTACCACGTTTCTGGCTCCAGAAGACAGGCGGGAACTCTGTTGAAAAGCCTCCACTTATAACGACAAGAGGTGCTCACCGCTCAGTGATCCTAGACTTCAAGAAAGAAGTCTACTGTACTTACGAAGACTTGCACCTCTGCATACCTGCAACTGATCAAAATGGGGGAATGCAAAGGGACTGTACAGTTATATGACTGTTGGGACATCATGTGGTACAAGAATGTGTTGGTTTTACTGTACTGACACGTTAGTGCCCCCTGTAAGTCCATGCCTGTCCATCTGCTTAAATTCACATACTTGCCAACAGCCCTGCTGAAGTCAGGCTAAGCATGCAGGCAGGAGTTTTCAGCGTTAGTCTAACTCGTCTGTGAAAAGCTGAGAAAGAAGACATTCTTCTCTTCTATTACATTTAGTGTTACATTACCAAAAATATTGAATTAGAACTTTATTTAGATAGAATTATTAATTGTCACATGGGTCTTTAGCTCATTATATCAGTGCATCCAATTACCTTCAATTCACAATCCAGTTGGCTTACAACACACGATCACAAGGAAGGACTTTATACATCCTCCAATTCTCTTCTGAGATGTCTGTATTCCCCAGACAAAGGTGACTTTAGCCAAAGAATTGCTAAAATTCTGGCTGTTGAGAAAGTCAGAGTGAAAGTTTATTGGGAATGGTATCTCCCTCTTCTGCAAAGCTGGCACGGGCTTCTCAACAGGGTGAGCAACATACAAGCGTATTTCTACTCCTGCCTCAGGAAAAGCAAAAGGAAAGAAAAGGACAGTGCTGGACTGGAGCCAAGGTATTGACACTCCCTCTTCTTCCAAAGGATAGAGACGATGCTCCTGGGAAGGGTCCTTCACCCCAGCACAAGCTCAGTCTGGCTACCTTGCCCTCTCCAGCCCGGCTTTCTGGGCTCTGGAGTAAGCAGCACAGAGAGCAGGACTGTGCTGTTTTGCTGGACTCGGTGATCTGATAGTTTAACCAGATGCCTACACTGCCTATGCAAAGGGCCAGTTCCTGCTCTACTTTGCCGAGGACAGGAAATTATAACATTGATGTTTTGATACTGAAATCCTATATCCAGTGGCTGAAGACTGTTTTGAGGTTCTTTTATTACACTGATATTTAATCCAACACATACATAGAGTCATCATAAACAGGAAGGGACTTGGAAAGACCATCTATCCACTCATCAGTTATACCTAATCTTTCCTGAGCAATGTTTGCTAACCAGATCCTAACTCTAACAATGAAGATGCCAGCATCTGCCTACATAACCCGTAATAGTGCCTTGTTGTTCTTGCTCTCAGACATTTCCCAATACCTAAACTAAATCTCTCCTAATGCAATGTAGACTCCTTTCTGTTTGTTGACAGGTTATTGTTGTCCTCTTCGAGGTTATTCCTGCCCTCTTTGCTATTTATGTTTTTGAAGATGGTTAATATGTCTGCTTTAATTTCTCTCTTCTTTAGATCAAGCAAGCCGGGTTCCTTTAATCTTGCCAAAGAGTCTAGAGGAGAATAAAGAAAATGGACGGATCCACCTTACCTCACCTGCATCTTTCTTTAAGTGCTCCAAGTGTTCAAAACTGGACACTGTTCTCCAGCTGAACACCACACTCGCACTGAGCAGAGGAAGAAAACTTCATGTACGTTGCAGACAAAATACCTTTTTTTATACAGCCCAGTACAATGTTTACCTTTTTGCCATATCATTAACTCATATACACTATAACTTCCAGATCTTCCATGACTTTTATGCCTTTTCAGCTATTCCCAGTTTTGTGGGTTTTGGAGTGCAGATTTTCCTTGCTGAGTGTAGGGTTTTTCCTTATGAACTTGCACAGTATTTTGTTCTCATCACCTTCTCCAAGATATCGGGTAAAGTCTGGATTCTAATTCTGCCTTTCAAAGTGTTTGCAGCTCTCTCAGCTTGGTGTCTTCTGCAAATTTAACAAATATGCTCTTTATTTCATCAGCAGTGTTGTTACTAGAATTTACTCTGAAGGAATATCAACACTCAGTATTACCAGGTCCATGACAGACTTCTGGGACATTCCCCCTTGAAACATGCTCCAGTGTGACAGCGATCTACTAATTATTCCCTTTAGTCTTCAAAATGGTTTTGGACTGACTTATCTAGACTGTATTTCCCTTACTTGCTCATGGGGATTCCACGTGTAACGGTGACAAGAGTCTCCCCAAAGTCATGATTTATGCACTCTATTCCTTCTTCCCTAATCCATAAGGCCTGTTATCCTGTCATAGAAGGAAATTACGCTGGTTTAATACAATTTGTACTTGACAAATCCAATTTGTCCTTGCAGCTAGTTTGATTATTTGTTCCATAAGTCTCCAGCTCTTCCTTTCCCTGCTTTCTACAGATAAGCATGAGGTTTATCATTTTCCAGGCTTATCCCATTTAACTTATCTGCCACACATTTCATTATTTGTTTTCATCTCTAGCTTCTTCGGAAGGTGAGATTTGGTCAACTCCACCGGTCATCAAGCAGCACTCTTTTAAGCTGACACGCTCCTATGTGCTTTGTAATGTGCGTGATCAATGGCTCCAGAAGAGCTTTGGAGCACTCCCTCAGTGCTAACTATCCTTATTTCAGAGAAAATATCGATGCACACACTTGTGCATAAACTACAGCCACTGAGGTTGCCTCAGTCTCCACAACCACAGCACCACCGTCGACTTGTCAGCTCTGCTTTGGTTAGCCACAGCCTGCAGTAGTCTGAAGTAATTTTGTTCCTCAGCCTAAACAACCACAAACTCCAAATTGCAACAAAGTCGTCTTTGAGGCAGGTCACTTCTCGGATTTTGATTTAATTTAAGAAAAGTCATGCCCCCAGTATAGCACAAACAACTGTAGTCTGTAAAGGACAGAAGAGTCAAGTTTCAGAGTCTGCTTCAATTTTCTCTCTAACAACTCACCAGCCCCCCTGTCCCCCATCCTGGCTTCTCTCACCTCTTTGGTCCTCCCATTACACCAGGTCCTGCCAACGCCTCACGAAGCACAATGTTGGAGAGATAAGCAAGGTGGAAACCCCAGGAAGGGTGTGGGAGATGATGGATGAGGCAGCTGTGAAAACAGGGTAAGCAGAGTTGTACAGAGTAGCGTATGGGGAAAATGGGAGCTGTGCGTGTGACCGGGCAGCACATCATCAGCTCCCTCGGCCATACGCCTTTAAAAAGTCCTAACAGTGACTTCAAAATTTCTGGTGTACAAATAACCAGAGAAGGTTAACAAAAATAACATTGAGCAGAATGGTGTTCCCTGAGAAAGCTCCAGTTTGACACTGTTGGATTGTTCTGTGGCAATGTAAAAAGTTTCCGGGCAAAGTGCGAACAGACACATTTTAGAAATGCAAAATTAATTATCTGCTTTCTGTTGGAAGGGGAAGCGAGTTTGTCATGCAAGTGTACAACCTGTGTGTCCTGCTGCAGGAGTCTGTTTCACTAAACAAGGCACGTGGGCCTTTCTCATTTTTTTACCGTCTCTCCAAATGACATTCAATTGCTTGATCAGTATTTCAAACGATGTGCCCAATCGCTCTTCCACCTTTGTGTGTGTGTGTACCTGGATGGAAGTTTGATTTAACTGTAAATCAAAGAAAATGTTCTTGATTTAAAACAGAGCTTTTACTTAAGGGAGGCATGTCTTCAAGAGGATTAGGTTGAGTTAGAAGTGAGCACTGATCATTTCATAACTTTGTGGTACAAATGCATCCTCTGTCACGTCTCTCTTCAGTGCGCACTAAACATTCATGTTCATATAGCTTCCTTCCCCTCCACACCTCCCCCAAGATTTTTTTACTTTTTTTTAGAGGGGAAGAGATCATCCATGTTGCCTAGGAAGCTGTAGAGGCTAAAAGACTATTTATTTATTCCTGCTTGTTCTACAGCTACTGTTTTAACAGCTCATCAGAGGGTGTGAACGACTTAATTACATTTCACCTTCACAAAGTGTTTTATTTCAAAGAACAGCAGGAGAATGCTTATCCCCAAAGTAAGGCTAACTGGCTTGTGAATCAATGATGTCACCAAAAAATAAAACATGGGATAAACCATTAAATTTCCTCAGGTATCTTCCACCCTAAAAGCACATTTCAGGCACTCTTACTCCACATTCCCAAGGAGAGGTAACCAAACTGATGGCAGGAACAAGATGCTTCGTGTCAATGGGTGCCAGAGGTGATGACATAGAAGGAACAAACCCTCGCGTTTTGTAGACGCATAATTTCATTTTTTTTAAAAAAACAAGTTTGTCCCAGAGACAATCACCCTAGATCGCTCGGGGAAGGGCCATGGCAGCCTGCCAGTGCTGATGGCCAGGGCTTGGCTGTGCTCCCTGTCTCTGGCGCCCAGACCACTCGTGCAAGTTCCCCTAGCTCATGTTAAACATCTTAACCTGTATCCAAATTATCTTGGAAAAACGATCTAAATGAAAGTTTTCTGTGAATGCATGTGGGCAAAATTATTTTCTTTCACCAGGGCAAGATGGAAGCTCCAGCACCAACTAACCTACAGCTGCGTATGTGACTGCAAGCAGAAAAGATGCCGTGACCACAGCGAGCCTCTCAGCACTTACTGGAGCACCACATGGGCTCAGCAGTCTGTGACCGGAGCCAGACCCCAAGACCTGTGAACCTGTCAGAAAGTCCAAACGCAAGGAAACCCCCTACGCTTGCGTTGCTCACTTGAGGCAATACATGGCTATCCAAGATACAGAAAGCTACATTAAAATTTTTTAAACTCTCAGCATATTTAAATTACTTTTAAAAACTTGTAACCTTAAGTTATATCATAAATTAAAAAAATTCTAAGGCAATAGCTTAACAATTTGAAATTATTATTAAACATTTTACAATTTTGAAAAGCTTGAATACTGTGATTTACTGAATAGTTTTATCTGCTTTCAAAGGTAGACTTAAATAAAAACTACGTAAGAACTGAATAATAACTTAAAAATCACTAATGTCTCCCTGACAAATACTTATGACTCAAAGTTGTTTCAGTGGAAATATTATTACGTAAGAAATAAATAGATTGCATTTGTTCATACTAACAAGACATTGTCTCAGAAACACTAGTTGTCCAAATGGTGCGGGCAATGATAACAGGAAAAAGATAGCTTCCAACAGTCAGACAAGGGAAACTAGGAAGGAAGCCAGGCAATAGCAAAATAAAAAGTAGAGAAAGAGATGAGGAATAAAATATCTCTCTCAAAAATCCTGTGTTTCAAGGGCTGGAGTTCTCGCGTCTAGAATCTCTGTTTCAGGCCAGCAAGGAACAACTGAGGGATATAACTGGGGGGTTGCAGCAGAGTTAATTTCTGTCTTTCTAGCAGATTATAATTTCATTTTTACAGAACTCTTAGGTTCTTCAACTTCTTCTGTGTTGACAAAATATATTTCCATTTAGCTGAATCATGCAGTACAACCCCAATATGTCTTCTTTCCAGGGCTGCTTTCTGCAGCCAGTGCTTTTATGGGACTTAGATGAGTTTTTGGTGATTCATAGTACTTAAACTACTCAAGAGCACTTTTTCAATTGGAAAATTCACTTGAAGTAAATGCATCATCAGCATGATTGTCCATGCATGAAAGAACTACAAGCAAAACAATGAGCACCATTTTTTAAAACCTACACTTAAGCCAAGAAAAACAGTTATAATGAACTATTAAAAGACCTTATTTTTCAGTTTCTATGAATCTCTTACAGAAAACATGGGTTATCCTTGTCTCTGCATCTCCTATTCTGAGAATCCCAAATTGCAAGTGAAAAAAATATAACGTGCACATTGTTTTAGAGTCATTAACATGATACATAGCAACATAAATTATATTACCTACAACAGATTAAGCTACTACCAATTTAGTTTTATTCTTGTAGCAGTCTTTTCTAGGAAGAAGCCTGTAAGATCTAGGCATCGAATACTCTTACTGTTCTCTTTTGTGCTTTCAGAATGCTAAATATAAATAAAATGCTATTTAAATCTTTTAAGGATTAATGGAAGATGCTCTGGTATCTGCCAAGCACAGTGTGGATTTGAAGAATATGTCAGGTACTTAAATGAAAACAGACGTCTGTATTTTTGACATTTATCCGAAGGAAAGAATGTTGTCTGTGGGTGTTGTGTATGCATGTGCCTATATGGCATTTTCACAGATGATTTGATAGTGGTACTTCCAAAATATTTCTACTCCTAATAGCATCGACGCAATCTTTCACTAATACTCCATTGTGGCAGTGTTTATTTATTTATTCACTTAAATAGATTGATATGATACATAAAAAAGGTCTATACACAACTCTGCATGATTTTGATATTTAGGAAAATACAGTCAGACTGGTGAAAACAAGTATAAAACCAGCAACCTCCATTAAATCAGAAAACAGTCACCAAAAAATAATTTTAAAACTATTCCCTGCTCCGAACAGTCATTCAGATAACCTGCACTAACCAAGACCACGAGGGCAATTTGAGACAGTGAGTTCAAATTGTAAGAGCCTTTATAAAAGGGGCCCACCAAGCCCCCAGCTCTGAGGGCCCCCAGCCCAGTCCCAGCTTTGCGCCCCATGACCAACGGGGACTGGAGATGGGTCCAGCAGATCTGACGGTCAGAGGAACCGGGCAATTTCACAGCGGAGCAGTACAGTCCAAACGTGAGGGTTCCTCGCCAGGACCTCCCTGCCAGCATCACTTGTTCCTGATGAAAAACAAGAGGATGGATGCTCATGTTGCCCTTTGGGTAGGGTTTGGGTGCTTTGGTAGGTAGCTGGGTGCTCTTGGGTGCAGAAGAAGAGTCCTGCCCTGGAAAGCTGACCTTTCTGGGGAGCTGCCAGCTGCCATACAGTTTGCTAATCAAGA